TTTTTTTTTTTTTTTTTTTTGGTACCGGGCATCGAATTCGGGTCCCTGTGCTTGTGAGGCAAGCAGCGGAACCACTGAGCTAAATCCCGGGCCCCTAATATGTGCTTTATCAATATCCAGTGTAACTCAAAAAAGGAAGTTTAAAAGCAGAGGGAGTAGAAGTCAAACTCAAAAGAAACACCAAGGAAAGATATGGTGAAAGGCATGCTGATCACCAAACTCACTCTGGCCCAAGTCAGCGGTTTCCATCAATAGCACAGATAAACAGAATGCAGAGGTACTCATGTGGGCTCTGCAAAATTCTGCTGAAAATACTGCTAATTAATCAACTACTTAAGTGGCAGTCATTATTTAGCATGACTGATGGTGCTTCATTTAATTTTCAAGTAAAATTCATTCTAAAGGTTTCAATAATTCAGATATTAATAAACAATGAGAGGCATCTCTAAACTAAATAGTTATTCTTTATGAAAAAAGATAGAATTAAATATACTGGCTTTACAGTAAAATTTAAAATTCAATATAATATATAGATATTTTAAATCAGAACAATTTTTTAAATGATAAACTATATCAAAAAATGCTACTCTTGGATTATACACTGGGCCTCTTTATATTACTGTCAAATTAATTTTAATCGTAAATTTAAAAATAATACTAATAGAATACTAACTCTTTCATGTAATTTTCCCTTAAAACTTGCAAGCATAGCAAAAAGAAAAAAAAAAAGAAAGCCATTACCCAGATTTACCTATCAAAATACTACCTATCTAGCATTTTGCCTATGTTTTCTCTCCCTCCACACACACACATTTTTAAAAACATGACTATAATATTAACTAACTTTCTGGCTGAATTCCAACTTTGTCATTTGATCCAACTTTTTAAGAGTATTTCTGCTTTTAGTATACGATACTGTGTAGGATCACACTTTGTGCCTTCCCTTTCTTTTTTTTTCTTCCTTTCTGGTGGTACTGGCACTGAATCCAGGGTTTTCACATTAGCTACTCCCCAGCCCTTTTAACATTTTTTATTTTGAGACAGGGTCTTGCTAAGTCTTTAAACTGTCCAGATTGAACTCAAACTTTCAATCTCCTTGCCTCAGCCTCCTGGAGTGCTGGGATTACAGGTGTGCAGCATTATGTCTGGCTAGTTTATGCATTTTTAAAGGAGCATAATATGTTTCTATAAAGTCAAAGTCCATTGTCAGCAGATATTTTAATTGGCATAACAACTTTATTTTTGGTTGACATTTACATAAAATTTAAACTTCCAATCTAGAAGAAAATTTTTTGTAAAAATTATTTTATTCAGAGTCTACTGTTAGTCCTTAGGTTAAACAGGCAGTACCATGTTCTATGGAAATCTACTGCTATAGGTGTACAAGTAAAATAAGTTTTCTCAAATTTTTGCCATTATTTCTAATACTTCACAAAAAGTATTTTTCTCAGCATGAACCATGCTGGTACAGTACACTGGCTTTTGTTTTAGGGTGAAGCTACCCTGGGTCTTTCAAGTAAATGAACATGCTCAGCTCAAATAACTCACTTGGCAGGAACAAGAAGTTCACATGACCCCACCAGAAAACACTGCTTTTCTTATCACAGTTACACATATTAAATACCCTCTACTATTTGAAGTGTGGTCCACAAATACTGACATCATCTGAAAGCCAAAAGAAATGTGGACATTCAGGCCCCACCCTAGAGCTAATGAACGAGAATCTGCATTTTAATTAACAAAGTTCAGTTGGATTTCTGAGTTGTGTAATTTAAAATATAAAAGGAATTAGTGACCCACTCTACATACATTAAAACCCCATGAACGATAAAGAATTTTATGAATATCAATTTCCTAGATTTTTTTTTTGTAAGACAGGTCTATGTACTTCAGGCTGGCCTTGAACTTACTATGTAGTCCAGGCTGGCATCCAACTTGCAGCAATCCTGCTTCAGCATCCTGACAACCTAGATTTTTATCACAAATTGTGGTAATGAAAAATGCAAGGGGGACGGGGATTTAGCTCAGTGGTTCCACCACTTGCCTCACAAGCACAAGGTCCTGAGTTCGAACCCCAGTACCAAAAAAAAGAAAAAATGCAGGGAGATAGTACTTATTGGTTACACAGCTGTCGTCAAGTTATTTCACTTCTCTGTGCCTCAACACGCAATGGTGATAATAAGAAAGCCTACACTTCATAAAGTTATTTTAAGGGCAAAATGAATTGATGCATACCAAATGCCAAGAAAGCTGCTCTTATGGTGTCAAGATGGAGTATCCCCCAAAGTCTCAGCACTAAAGCTTTGATACCCAAGGCAGCACTGTTTGAAGATGGGGCATAGAGATGAATAGTCATGAGGATGCTCATCACACCAATGGATTAACCCATAAATGATTCATAGCTGAATGGGCCATTAGAGGTTGTGAACTAGATGAAGTAGGTCACTTGGGATGTGTCTTTAAAGAGGGCAAAGCTAAGGCACATGTGTTGCATTTCTTTTAGGGCAAAAGATGTTAATGTATGAGTTATTTTTTTCCAAAGTAAAACCTAAAACCTTAGTATTCAGGTTTAATTGCAGTGTTGGCACTCTGCAATAAATAAGTGGGTTTTGGGTTGCACTTTAGGCACTCAGTCTCGAAAAGGTTCACCATCATTGGTCTGTCTTGTCCAGGGTCCCTCCCTTCTTTCTGCTGAGCTTTTCCCCTTTCTCTCTGCTTCCTGGCTGCCATCAGGTGAACAACTTTCCTCTGTCATAATGTTTTGCCTTGTGCTCGCTTCAGCAACACATAAACATAATGTTTTGTCTTGCCATGGGCCTAAAAACAATGCAGCCAGCCAACTGTAGAATAAAACCTCTGAATCCATGAGCCAAAATAAACCTCCTTTAAGTTACTTATAGCAGGTATTTTGTCACAATCATGGGAAACTGACCGATACAGGTGCTGGCATAAAACCACTGTCCAATACATTTTGCTATTATTATTAGCTGAGTGTCTGACATACATAGAGCTCTGTAATTATGTCCAAGAAGCAATGACATCAGCAAGTTCTTTCTTCTACAACTACAAACACTTAATGATGAAAGATTTTTTTTAAAGTATCAAATATTTTCTACATGACAGAATGAACACTGAGATGGAAACATGAACTTTGGGTTCTGGCTTTACCTGTTATAAGACCTTGGATAGGCCCAGTTAGCCCAGGTTTTAATTTTTCTATTTGTAAAATGAGAACTGAGCTAGGAGTCATCAGTGATTATTCCCAGTACTTATTAAAATTCAACTTGTTTGCAATGGGGTCTCATTATATTGCCAAAGCTGTTCAACTTCTGGATTCAAGTCATTCTCCCAATCCAGCCTTCTGAGGATTACAGGTAATGTGCCACCACAAAGTTAGAACAGCATTAACTCAGAATTTCAAAAGCAATTCATGCAAGAGCAATAAAACATTGTCTAAAAAAAGAAACACTTTAATATCCAAAGAAGCTCAAATTAAAGGCATTTAACAACTGCTAAACAATAAATGTTAAGGACTGGTTAGTGGTTCCACAGGTATATTCAGTGTATTAAAAATCATCAGACTATACAATTAAATATGTGTACTTTGCTGTATGGAGGTCATACTTAGTGAAAACAGTAAAACTTTTGAAAGAGTATTTTAGAAAAGGCTAAAATTCTAACTTTTCCAGGAATGCAGCTCACTTCCAGATTTAGGTACAAAGACAGTCAATATTAGAACTTTCCTGGAATTTAAACATTCAATCTTTATTTCACATCCAGCAAAAGCCGAGAGCAAAGATGTCCAAGAAATTTCCTGGTATCATACTTTCAATCATAGCAGGAACAATAATGACTCCTAATCCTAGCTCCAGTCCTCAATAGCTATCTAATCTTGAGTTACAACACCTCTCTTCCTATAAGATTTCAGCCTCTTCACCTATATTATTCAGCACTGTATTAATTCACATTTCTATTCTAAAATTTTATGACATTTAGTTCCCTAAATGTATTGTCAAAATAACTATATTTTAATAATCCAGAATTCTTCAGGAAATATCAAGTACTCACATATACTCAGTCTTTAACCTATGATTATACATACCTATATTTACTCACCTGAGTAAGTAACATAAAGGCATTGTCTGCTCTGAGATGTTTAGTGAGAAATTCCACACAATGTGCTTCCAAGGCTGGGACAGCATATTTCTTAGCAGTATAAAGGGTGGTCATGACTGTTTCTGGGCCAATCTGAACTTCATCTGAATATAGAAATCTAGAAAACAATTGCAAAATTTGCAGAGATGATCAGCCCTATTTTAGATAAGGAGTTCATCAGAGCTAACTTCTGAGGAATTATTTTAAAAGATAATGAGCAAACTGGAAAATAATCTGGAATTTGCATACGATTTTGCAGCCTACAGGGTATTTGTACATACATCTCATTTTATTCTTACGGAATCCTGAGGAGTAAGAAGTGTCTCTATGCACAAAGCAAACATGTTAAGATTATGAAACAAATACAGCTCTGAGCCAAGTCTTCAGAGTTCTTTTTAGCACCTTGTATATGTTTAAGGTAACAGTGGTTCACTTCTCTCCCATTCATCAAAAGATTTTCACATAAGTAAATCTAGTTAGCTAAGGTCACATGTCTAAATGTTAAAACACTCATTTATTTCCTGATAGTAGTGCCTTCTTATTCTGAGCATTTTTCAACCTTTTATTGTTATCCCAGTATTAACATAATGACCACAGATTAGAGTACTTGGGCTTTGGAGGAATAAACCAATTTTAGTAATCCAGTTGGCCCTCTATATCTGCAGGTTCCACATCTGTGAATTCAACCAACTGTGGATCAAAAATACACATTAAGCCAGGCATGATGGTGCACATCTGTAATTGCAGTACTTGGGAGGTTGAGGCCAAGAGGATTACTGTAAGTTCAAGGTCCGCCTGGGCTACATAGTGAGTTCAAAATCAGCCTGAACTACATAGTGAGACTGTCTCAAAAAAAAAAACAAAAAAAAAAAACACCACAAAAATACACATATTAAAAAAAATAGTGGGTGAAGAGACTTGCTTGGGCTTGAGCCCACTGTATCACTTGTCAGCAATGAGACCTTAGGCAAACTGCATCTCTTAAGATGAGAATAACAGTACAGTACCTCCCACAACAATGTGGTAATTAACATACAACACACAAAGCATGGGGGGGGGTGTACCAGGATCGAACTCGGGATCTTGCACTTATGAGGTAGGTGGCAGAACAACTGAGCTAAATCCCTGGCCCACAGAAAGCATTATGAATAGCACCTGACAAAGAATTAGCCTCAGTGAAAGTTAGATACCTAATAGTATACAGTTATCTTTTTTGTTGCTATTTTCCTGTGTTTTGGAAGATTTATTTGCACTTTTAGTCCTATTTTTGTTCCTAGCAATCACAGATTTACATTTCAAAAATTTGCTTTTTTCATTATGCCTTTTTTTCTCTGTAGCATCACGTTTTAGTTTTACATATTAAAAAATCTTCTCAAGACTCCAAGATGATATTTTTAAAAGTTTTAAAGTCATCTTTTGTTTCTCTGAATTACCTGCTTCACTGTGGATCAGTTAAGTTTCTTTGTCATGTTGCTTTTCAGTATGTCAAGTTCAGTATTCTAGTAGCTGGTCTGTCTCTAGCTAAAACCACCTCCAAAGTGAGAAAGGTGACTTGGGAGTTCTAAGGATGTGAGAAGTCATTGACTGGTGCCTTCCCTGAGAATAGGAAGCTGGTCCTGAGGTCAAGGACCCCACAGTGACATCATGAAGAGAGCTTTACCCTGGGACACCAAAGTCCTACCAGCAATTCCATTTATCTGCAGGAGTCTGATTTATTTAAAGAGCATCCTGTCAGCTGTCACCAGCAGCTGGTTGGGGGGATGGTTTACAAGCAGGATTTCAGTTGATTTCCGAGCTTGAACACTACACTTTCTCATTTCCACCCTCTTCCCTCTGAACAACCAATCTAGACTTTGTTGCTAGGATCTGCATTCTGGGGTTCCAGATTCATCCATCAGCAGGCTGCCAACTGCTTTGTCTTTTGCCTACCCTGTTGCCCTTCCAAGAAATATCTCTTTCTCATCTCTGTATCAGACATTCTTCACATTTCTTAATATTCATTTTAATTGAGGGAGCTAGAAAGCTGTGTACTCAATTCCATTCTTGAATTAGAAACCTATGAAGGTTTTTATGGATTAGGCAGAAGTCTTTATACCTGACCTAAGTTGGGTTTTTTTTCCCCTCCTCTAAGCAAAAATTGCTAGATTGGGCCAGGTCTTTAGCTCAGTGGTTCCACTGCCTGCCTCGCAAGCACAAGGTCCCGAGTTCCACCCCCAGTACAAAAAAATTTTTGGATAAAAATTTTAAAATAAAAAAAATTGCTAGAGTTCTAAAACATAGCAGGAAAGGGGACATTTTTCATCATTTGCCTTTGTATTTGAATACATTCAAACTTATGGAGACAAGGTCCTCGAACAGTATGAGGTTGCCTTCTAGTACATGGTTCTATAAGAATCTGTATCTGGGAACTCTGGCAGAGGAAAGCTAGAAAAGCTTCTCGGGAATTTCTGGTAAGATCTGAAAGATTACAAAGTGGATGGAAAGAACATGCTAGGAATAAGAAAGGTGTTTTTAGATTATTCTGTATGAGACTGTTCCACTCAAATTGCTTTTACTAAATTATACTTTTGGTAATATATTTTGTTTATATAAAAGAACACTTTTAAGAAACCTGTATTTTAAAAACATATATTAAAAATCCTGTTAATTACAGTAATGCCTGATTTATGATGGGACTCATCAGGAGTTTTGGCTTTTTACTGGCCTAATTATGAGATAGAGTAATACATCTTCTAAAGCAGTTGGTTTGTTTTTAATCTTACAAACACTATGAATTATAACTGACAACCAAGTTTCTCTTTTTGTATTATCATTAAAACAATTAAAATGAAGGACGCAGCTTATCCATATCATGTTTTGTATTAATTAGCTTTATTCTTGGCTCTATTTTACTTCTCACCTTTGTGTTTCTTGTAAGATATTTTAAATTATTTTTCAAACAGTGCAAATGAAAAATAAACTCAGGACTATAAACAATAAGAATGAGCAGGGGATTTAGTTCAGTGGTTCCACCACCTGCCTCATAAGCACAAGGACCCGAGTTCGATCCCAGTACCCCCAAAAAAAACCAAAAACAAAAACAATAAGAATGAGCTGTTTCTATTTTTTTTCCTACGTCTTCTCTATAGTACCAGGCACAGTGTCAGCATGTATTTAAGTGTTAATAAATACAGTGAAATGACTAGATCATTCACTGTAGGTTTCTATGTAACACTGATGGGGAAATTGATTTCCTTTGTAACCAAAAATAATTTGTAACCAAAAATAATTATTTAAAAACCCAAGATTCAGCTTGGTTCATATTTTACTTATACTTTCTCAACATTCTATTGAATTACAAGAATACTTTTAATAAAAGACAATTACACAAACCAAGATTTGCAAAATATAACTAAAACTTAACATATTTCCACAATTCTTTTTTGGGATTTTTTGGTACCAGGGATCGAACTCGAGTCCTTGCACTTGTGAGGCAGGCAGCAGAACCAATGAGCTAAATTCCTGGCCCTATTTCCAAAATTCTTTGTATTTGAAAGTGAGTGGGTAAGCTCTCACATACAACCTCTAAGGATAAGAGCACAAGAAAATGATATGTCATCAAACCATTCCTGTTTTCTGCCCAAAGGTGGTTTTCCAAAAACAGAAAATTCAGGTTACATGTAATCTAATTTTTTAAGGTTAAGTTGTTGAGAGCTATTCTACATAAATTTGGGGGGAAAATCATTTCATAATTAAAGTATGACTATAGCTGTTTAAGGCCCAATGTTGCCTGGCCCTTGAGCTGGCAAGCAGAAACAACTCCATTTGCCTCTGGTCACAGCAGAGGACTCAAGGGTCCCAGGAACCTGTGGCGCTCAAGGGCATTACATCAACTGAAGATATGGTTCTTAGAGAACCAAGTAGTAATACAAAAAAGAGAAAAGTTTCACTTGGGGAGGGACAAATTCCTTATCAGTTTAACTGGTTCCACCTACTGTTTTGGGAATACTCTCCTTTCCACCCTCAGCCCTCGCCCTCATCAGCATGAGCCTTCTATAATGGCTGTCCCCTAAGTCACTGGATACTCCCCTCCAATTGCTGTGTACCCAATAAATGATGGCTAGCTCAGAGAGTTCTTGTCTTTACCCACTGAGGCAGTAACCTCCTGGCCCCCATATACTTTTAAGTCTCTGTTATCTTTTTTCCTTTGGCCCTCACCGTCCCCCTTTCTAAGCAGTCAGAAGATTGACTGGCCTCTGATACTAAGGTGAAATTTTAATTTTATATTAGAAAAAACACAAGATCATGTATGAGGATCTTTGACTCTGGGTTCAATTCCCAGAACCACACACACACACACACACACACACACACACACACACACACACAGACACACATACACACAAACTGAGGAACTATATAGTATATTATCAGGGATTGTGATGGGTCCTAGACAAACATATATGGCTATTAAAAAAAAAAGTTAAGAAAAGCTTGAGAATGAAATGATTAAAAAGCAGTGTCCTGGGCTGGGGATTTAGCTCAGTGTTTCTGCTGCCTGCCTCACATGCACAAGGACATGAGTTCAATCCCCGGTACAAAAAAAAAAAAGCAATGTCCTAATGATAACAAAAGTATCAGTTAAACACTACTATATAATAACTAATTTCTTAGGAAGCCCCCAAGAAGTCATGCCTTCCAGAATATATGCTGTTATAGATTTGTTCCCTAAGGAATCTGAGCTGGCTGGGTGTGGCTCCCTTCGACCACAAGAATGTGGTGCATCAACACTACCAGGCTGACACCTTTAGGGGCGCCTGGCAGCCCCTTCCAGGGTACTCTCAGGAACCTCTGGCCAAGAGATCAAGCTACTATGCTGAAGAGACCAGCTGGAGAAGGCCCATGGAGAGAATCTGAGCCTACAAAGAAAAGGGAAAGAAAACACTCGGCCACCCTGTATCTGTGTCTAACCTTCAGATGACTCCAGCCTCAGATGTTATCTGGTACAGCTGCAGGAGAAACCAGAAAGGCCAAACAAACCACCGAGATCATCCCAGTCAACCCACACAACAGTGAAAGATAGTTAATAAAGCCCTTGTTTAAACTACTAGGTGTTAGGGTGGCTTGTTCTATGGCAAT